GTGTTGGAGGTGATGGTCGTGGAGGTGTCGGAGGTGGAGGGGATGGAGGTGTTGGAGGTGGAGGGGATGGAGGTGTTGGAGGTGGAGGGGATGGAGGTGTTGGAGGTGGAGGGGATGGAGGTGTTGGAGGTGATGGTCGTGGAGGTGTTGGAGGTGGAGGTGGCAATGGAGGTGTTGGAGGTAAAATCGATAAGAACAGTAGAGTAGAAAGTAGTGGTGAGTGTTGACAGGGATGATGAACCGTGCTCATGATGTGGTCACCATGATGAGGCAGAGGAGAAGAGAAGGGCAGGAGGGGGTAGACGCCCTATCTGGCCGGAAGCCTCAGGAAGCAAGAGGGGAGGGAGGCTCTGCTTACCCCAGCCCACCGCACAGAGCTTGAGCAAGTATCGGCGGATGTAGATGTTGTAGACGCGCCCAAGGAGGAGGTAGAGGTTGAAGCCTTCGATGGCCATCCAGGTGAGGCAGCTGAGCAGGGCAAAGTGCAGGATGGCGGCCAGCGCTGTGCACGCTGCCCCAGACACGGGGGGCATGGCCAGCGCAGGACTCAGCAGGAAGGCGACATTCAGGAGCAGCACGGAGGCATGCAGGTTCATGTGGATGCGTGTTATGGAGTCACCCTGCTTCCTGCGGGTGGAAGCAGGGCCTTCCGTGGCCTGGGGACATCACCCAGGCCATGCCACCCCCCGGGGCTCATGGACACACCACTGAGGTTGAGGGGGGCAGGAACAGAACAACAGCCACACGGCAAGGCTGGTCTCCTGCCTCCCAGCCTCCATCACCGTGAGAAGCCCACCCCCCTCTGGGGGATCAGTTAGGTAAGAAGGAGGGGTGCTGAACAGCAGTGGGTGGGCAGGCCCGGCATGGGAGCAGGGGCGTACCTGGCTTGGCAGTGCAGCAGGATACTGAGAAGCGAGGCCGTGACGGAGATGCTACAGCCCACCAGGGAGATGTACGTGAGAGGCGCCAGCAACTCTCCTGGGACCGGGGCTGGGGACAGTTGCTGCAGGAACGAGGGGGAACGGGAGACAGAAGCACAGAAATGCCCTCCCCACGGTGACAGGGACCTGCTAAGACCTCAGCTCCAAACTCCCCTGTCTCACCACAAACCTCCTTGTTTGTGGTGAGACAAAACAAAAACAAAAAAACCCTGGCAGACACAATGGATTTTGCCCCCCTCAACTCCATCTCCCCTTTCTCTATGAGAACCTCCCCTCCCTCACTGTCTACGCACATGGGCGGTCCCACTGTGTGTGGACAGGTGCACTAGGCCTGACTTATCAGAGCCCTGTGATAAGTCACTCCTGCCCAGTGACTGGTTGAGGGATGGGAATGTGACACCCTCCAAGGCAGTGGGACTCTAATCCCAAGACTAGCCGGCAGAATTGGGTAAAAGAAGCTCTCGTTCTACTGGCCTAAAAGCTAGTAGGACATGAGCCTGGATCTGCTAGCAGCCATATTATTATCCTGTGGGGAAATTCTGTCTGAAGGCTAGGCCAGCACAAAGCAAGCACAGTTGGGAGACAGAGCTAGAGCCCTGTCTTGGTGATACTGAGCGTCTGGATCAAGCCATGCTTGAAGCCTAACATAGCTTCTTCAGCAACATGAGTTCATAAGTTTCTCTTTTTGCCTCCTTAAGCCCATCTGAGTTGGGTTTTCTGTCCCCTACACCAGGCTTTGCCTGCTCCTTTTCCTTAGACACGGGGCCCTTTATAACTTTGACTCCCCTTACACGGACTGGATGCATACATACCATGAGAACAGCAAAGTAGCTGAGGTGATTGCAGCGGCAGAGCACCTGGGAAGGTGAGGGCTTCTCCGTGCGACAGCCCTCGGGGCTCCAGAGCCCCCAGTAATGTTCGCTGGCTCCTTCCTTCCAGAAAACACAGGTCACCGTGTAGCCTTCCTAAGGGGAGAGGCTGGGGTTGGGTGCATCCAAGGGGTGTGGGGAATGGCCGTGGGTCAGAGTCTGGAAACTGTAGGGGCCAAAGTTGATTCAACTGCACCCTAGTCAACATTTTACCAGACACTGGCTGGGCTTTGGCATCAGACAGACCCAGATTCCAGCCTCACCTCTCCTCTGGACTCTCAGAGCGACCTGGGCAAGTTGTCGAGCTTCTCTGAGCTTCAGTTTATTCATCTGCAAAATGGGATCATCTATAGCCAAGTCTCAGGGTTGGTATTAAATTACAGGCCGTGAGGAATCTTGAGGGCCCAGCTCTGGCTGGACAGTAGGTGCTCTATAACCAACTGTCCCCTTTTCCTTCCTTCCCATGGGGAACAACAGTGGTGCAGACCCATGCCCAGCGTGAGGGAGAGACTCACATGCAGACAACCGTGAAGCCAACAAGCCATGTGGGTGGACGGCTGGGGGGAGTGACACAGGCAGTGCCATGGAACACCACCGAGGAAAGAACCTTTGCAGGGCAAAGGTCCAGAGCAAAGAAAAGAAAGGAGGATGGAGAAATTGAGAGGGCAACGCAGTCCCGAAGAGGCTGACGGGAAGTCAGGGCAGACCACAGAGGCTCTGGGCTTTTCAGGAATGCCAGGGCCGGAAGAGCGGAGGCATCAGAGCTCATGCCCACCCGGCAGCCCTTCTCCCTTCCTCCAGGATCAGCTTCTGCACTTCTCTGGAGGACCCGCACCTCCCCCCATGGCAGGCCAGATGAATCCAGCCCAGTCCCTGAGCCATGTGACCCGGGCCTGGCCCACCCACACGTTCCATCAACCTGGTTCAGAGATGGACACATGACCCAGCTAGACCTTTAGGACTCTGTTCTGGGACCCTGGTTTGCACTGATGAGGAAGAGCCTGCTGGGAAGAGGGGATGGAGGTCCAGGACTTTAGCTGCCATCTTGCTAGAGCAGAGAGCCAAGGCAGGAAACCATTGCTGAGAGATGGAAAGAGGCTGAGCCAGGATGGCATTATATCAGCCCCTGGATCCAGCCATGCCTGAAGCTTGACAGCTCTGGACATTTCATTTACGGGAGCCAATCAATTCCCTTTTGTGCTTAAGCTGGCTTGACTTGGCTTTGTATCATTTGCAACTCAAAGAGTCCTGCCTAGGGGGCGCCTGGGTGCCTCATTTGGTTAAGCTTCCCACTCTTGATCTCAGCTCAGGTCTTGATCTCAGGGTCCTGAGCCCAAGCCCGGCATTGGGCTCCACGCTGGGTATGGCACCTACCTAAAGAGAAAAAAAAAAAAAAATCCTGCCTACTGCAGTAAGTAAAACCTTCTCTCTGATTTCTTTGACAGGAATTTTCAAACTGTGATAGATTTGAAATCGTTTGTTTTCAGAATGCTTCCACAGATTTGGGTTTAGTCAAGCCAAAATTCAACAGGAGAGCCACAAGGGGGCAGGGGTGAGGTGGAAATGGGGGCACCCGCCCTCCCAAAAGTACCAGGCTTTGGTTGTGCCAGAAGCTGATGTTGATGGGCTCACTGAGGTTGCTCACGTGTCCGTGACCCAGCTGGGCTCCCAAGACATAGTTATTGAGCAGAGATGAGTTGGTATTCTGGAAGGACAGCAGAAGAAGGGCTGACTGCAGGGGACGCGGGGAGAGACCGGCTGAGGGCTGAGAGCCCCCCTTCACCAGCCCCTTCCCCCGAATGAGAGCAAGCAGCATGCCTGTCACGTGTTCAGCATGGGCCAGCCTCACAGCCTTCACATACGCTGTCCCCTCCACCTAGAAAGCTGTCCTCTCCCCCTCACCTCTCTGCCATGTGTTGAGTGTATTCCAGCCTCCATCCTAACTAACCACCTATCCTAACTCACTTTCAAAGCCAAGGTTAAAAGGCACCTTTGTCTATCTCCCACCTAGGGACAGGCGCACACGTAGGTTCCCTATAAGTGGGCCTTCCCACAATTCTCTCTTCCCACTGAGGCCCAGAAGGGGCAATGGCTGGGTGCACGATGGGCTGGTCCCACCAGGTGCCGGTCCCTGCCCCAAGGCCAGCCGATGGCCTGGATGCCCACAGTGCCCCCAGGAAGGGGCCGGCGCCCACCCTGCTTGGCCCACCAAGGCAGTGACCTGGAAAAAGTAGTCCGTGAAGAAGTAGATGCAGATGAGACGCAGCTCCCTGGAGGGGTCCCTGCAGGCGTCCTGGGTCAGCTCGGCCGGGAACTGCATGGCATGTGAGACCTGCGGAGGGGGCATGGACAGGCTGAGCCTGGTATCCGCGGCCTGCAGAACCAGCCCCAGTGCCTTCACTGCTCCCAACTTCTTGTGAAGCCTGCCCGGCCTTACCCCAGGCATTTCATTCCTCTGAGCCACCACCTAGGACCCTGGATCCCCTGGCCTCTCCCACTGCTGCCTCCCCCACCACCCCCACAGACCTGCAAAAGCAGGAAGAGGATGCCGCTCTTGAGGGGCGACAGGGCACCCCCTTTCCCATCATTCGCATGAGGAACATCGGCCCCATTTTACAGAGGAGGCACCTCACAGCTATGAGGCCAGACCGGATTAGTTTGGGTGGGGGGAGGGGAGTCCAGACCTTAAGCCCTTGGAGGATTTCTGGGGTAGAGGCACTGGCTGCCCCCAACCCCCAACCACCTCTGACCTGGGGGACCCGCTTCATGGTGGCGCTGCTCAGCGACAGGCCGGCGAAGTTGCAGCCCAGCTTGAAGATCAGTGACTGGATGGTGGGCGTCTGCAAGGTCAGGTTGCTGCCCCTGAAGCTGGCGTTCAACAGCTTGCACTCCAGGCCCCGGATGAGGCTGAGGGCGAGAGAGCTGACTAGGGTCCGCAGTGGGCTTGGGGGCAGGAGGGGGGGTACCCCAGGCGGCTAGAAGGGCGGGGCCTCCCCCAACCCCATCGGCCTCTCCCATCTCCGGACCTCTGCACACGCAGCGCCCCTGGCACACCCCTACCTCTCCACCCCACTCATTCACGTCTCCTGATTACCTCTCTTTCTGGTCCAGCTTTGTTGACACCTCCTTCAGGAAGCCTTTTCTGGCTTTTCTCTGCTGGCTGCGTGAAATGCCCCATAGTCCCTGTGCTTCCCTGGCCACTCATCAGCACTATCCCCTCACCCGCAGCTGTGTGGCCATTAGATCACAGACCCTCGAGAGCCTGATTCGAGTCTTGCAGCGCCTTCCCAGAAAAATGCAGAGACCCAGAATTCTGCACCGGGTTTCATGGCATCCATAGTTAAAGACCCTCAACCAGAGAGCAGACTTGATGAGGGCAGGACATGTTTATCCTGTATCTCCAAAGCCTAGTGCCAGGCACACAGTAGGTACTCAATAAATGCATGTTGAATAAATGATTAATGGTCCCCACTGGACAACCCCGGACCACTGATTCAAGGCTCAAGCTGGGGGTGGGAGGCACAGCTGAATCTGGGTGGACAGGAGGGCCTCCTGACTCACTCAGCAAGAGAAGTCGAGTTGTGGCTTCTGGCCATCACCTCCAGTTTCTCCATCCAGAGCAGGGATTCTTGGGATGTCTCTGTGCGGAGCAAGTCAGACCTCGACTTCGGCCTCTGTCCCTGGGCCTTCCACCCCAGCCTCAGCCTTGCTGCTGCCCCAGGAGGGCTGCAATGCCCCTTTTCAAGCTCCCTTGGTTCGAGGCATCCCCCTTCCACGTCACAGGCAGGGGCCCGGGCTAGGATTGCCCCCCAGCTCAGCAGCACCCTCTTACCCACTGTCTCACTCTGAGAAGTCATGAAGCACAGGCAGAGGAAAAAGGTCCCCCAGCAATCCATGTCCTGTGCCCAGTCTCTTCCGAGAACTGGCTCCCACCCTGGAAAAGATGCATGTCATTGTCATTGTGGTAAGAGAGTGACCTCTCACTTCTAGGTGCCTGGCATGTCCCAAGGGTAGGGTATCTAGCATCTTAATTGATCCTTGTTACTCCTGCATTTCACAGATGGGGAAACTGAGGTTCAGGGCGCAAGTGGTCTTGCTCTGCGTGAGGCCCCCTGAGCCAGGTCTCTGACCCCAGAAGCCCTGTTGGTTCAGAAATGCCTGTCAGTAGTAGCTCTGCCCGTCACTCCCCATCCCCAAAAATGGCCTCTCTGGGGGCTTCTCCGGGGCCCTGACTTCACCCAGAGGGGAAGGCTGCTTGGGAGCAAGCAACATGGAACCCTGTCCAGCTCTGTCATTGATCCACCATGTGACTTTGGGCAAGGGTCTGTCCCGCCCAGCCTTCGTTTTCTGTGGTTTTAAAAATAAACTAAGAAACTTCTGCTTAAATATAGCAAATTTATGTCAAACCCCCTGGAACACCACTAAAATGAGAGTGAGTGAATAAAATGGGCACAGAGCCAGGAAGACAGAACAAGGGGAAAGAAGACAACAGCAGGCAAGAAATGTTAGCAAAACTCTGGAGGCTCCAAAGCAGGTGGCCACATGGTCCTACATCAAGCAGACCATAAAAAGTTGAGCCTGAGTGTCTGCAGTGGGGAGAGGTGTGGAGTGAGGGGAGGGGGCAGGGAGAAGCCTCACAACCCTGGGAACACTTGAGAACTAGAGGCATCGAGAGCCTCTGAAAGCAGGGATGAGGGGTGAAACCAAAAAAAATGGGAGAGAGACGCTTATGAGTCTTTTTTTTTTTTAAGAGAGAAAGTATGCGTGAGCTGCGGGCAGGGGGGGGGGGGCAAAGGGGCAGAGGAAGAGGGAGAGAGAGACTCCCAAGTAGTCTCCACGCTCAGCAAAGGGTCCGACACAGGACTTGATCTCACGACCCTGAGATCATGACCTGAGCCGAAATCAAGAGTCAGACGCTTAAAGGACTGAGCCACCCAGGTGCCCGGTTGTGAGTCTTTAAAGTGACCAGTTGGGGGCCCGGATCTCCTCTGCCACCTGGGGTATCCAGGACGACTGTCACCACCCTACCACCCTCAACCCCACCCCGACATAAAGTTCATTCCCTGGAGACAGTGCATGATAATCTGAGGGGCAGGGTGGGATGCCATTCAGGTAGAGAAAAACTAAACCATATTTCTTCCCCACCTCCTCCTCCACTCAGCTTCCAGAAGCCGGCAGCAGCCAGGCGATGATATTCTAAAACAGAAGAAAATTCTTCTCTAAAGAACTGGCCATTCCAAGAGAAGTTTCCTATAGCCGCAGATATTTTGGTGTTCCTCAGTGAAATGGCCAGGACCAAACTTAGGTTAAAGCTTTCCCAATCATCAGCCCTGACAAGCAGTTACGCTTTAGTGCTGCACTCTTAAAAGATGACTTAAAAGTCAACCAAGGATCATTGTAGGTATTTTAAAGCATATACCCCCATCAGAAGGCTGCTGGAGGTTGCGCTCCAAGAGAATGAGGGAGTAAGTCATGAAAGACAACATAGGGTATAGGAAACCCCACCAGAGAAGAGATGATCCATAGTGATGTCCATAGTGACATAAAAAAGGAGCACCGTGTATCACTGCCTAGAAAGAGCCAGTTGAACATAACACACATAATGTAATCACATGTATGGAAATGTATGCTAATATACATGTTTAGGCCTAGGAGGGTATCTAGAAGAATGGTCGCCAAAATGTTAATAATGTTATATGGGGAAGAGGATTCCTTTCTTTTTTAGGTTTTCCGTAGAGTTCAAATTTTCTACAGCAAACATGTATTACCCTCACAACAGAAAAATAAGTCTTTAATGCTTAGAATTTTTTATGCTCCAAATGACTACCATTATGGAAAAAGTAATGGTGGCATGTTGTTTATGAAAAACAAAAAACATGTTGCAAAGCAATGTAATCCAATCCTTGTAAAAGTCACATTTCTTATATATGCAAGCTCCGAAAGATGCAGGCGTCACCTGTGGGTGATGACGTTTGGAGTCTACCTGTTTTGGGTTCCCAGATTTCCTAATGTTACCCCGTACATTATAGTTACACGTTTCTCAATTTTTATTTGTCCTTCAGATAGTTGTTGTTTGTTTTTTAAAGAGGCTCCACACCCAGCGTGGAGCCCAACGCAGGGCTTGAACTCACAAGCCTGAGATCAAGACCTGAGCTGCGGATCAAGAATCAGATGCTTGACCGACTGAGCCACCCAGGCGCCCCTGCTTTTCAGATAGTTTAGAAATTTACATCTTTCAAATCCAAACAATAAGTAAGTCCACAAAGGCATGAAATGCAAAGTATTCCTTCCTCCTGTGTCACCCAACTACTCCCTTCCCAGTTAGTCACCCTCAGATGACTACTGCTATTAGTGTTTGGTGAATCTGCCCAAGTTTCAAATAAACATAAGCATATATGATTCTCCTCATCCTATATGGAAAAAAAAGGTAGCACACTCACTACTATTCTGCACCTCACTTTTTTCGCTTGAAAATACATCTTGGAGAGCTTTCCATAACAGTACTTAGAGTTTTCACTTTCTCTTCTCCAACTACATAGTCTAACGTTGGAGGGATAAGCACTAACTTATGCAGCAGGTGCCCTCAGAACAGCTGGGTGTGTGGGTCCCCGTCTTTGCTTCCTTCCAACAGTGCACCTGCCCTGACATTTCGCACATGCGCAAGTTCACCATCTGCCCATTTTTATTTTATCTTCGACTCTTCCTTACCATCTTCTCAAAACTCTTTACATAGTAGGGAAATTAGCTCGTTGTCTGTGAGTTGCAAACATGTTTCCTAGTTTATCATTTGCCTTTGAACATTACATATGGTCCTTTTGTCATGTAGAAGTCCTTTTCTATGTGTATAATTTTTGTGTAATCAGAATCACCTGTACTTTTCTCTTTTGGCTTCTGGATTTTGAGTCATAGCTAGAAGGGCCTACCCCGCTCCAATAACAAAGGAATTCTCCTAAGTTTCTCCTAGGACTTTTGAGGTTTCATTGTTCACATTGGAACCCTAGTCCATTTGCGTCGATCCTGGAATACAGTATGAGATGGGGATGCAGTGTTTTTTCCTGGGTGGTCCCATCCATTTATCTTAACATTATTTATTAATATCTGTGTTTCTTTGAAAAGAGAATAGAAGGGCTCCTGGGTGACTCAGTCAGTTAATCATCTGACTCTTGGTTTCTGCTCAGGTCACGATCTCAGGGTCGTGGGATTGAGCCCTGGTCGGGCTACATGCTCAGTGGGGAGTCTGCTTGAGAATCTCTCTCTCCCTCTGTCTCGCTGCCCCTAACCCGCGCCACCCCCTCTCTCTCTCAAATAAATAAATCTTTTTTTTAAGATTTTATTTATTTATTTGACAGAGAGAGAGACAGCGAGAGAGGGAACACAAGCAGGGGGAGTGGGAGAGAGAGAAGCAGGCTTCCCGCAGAACAGGGAGCCCGAAGCAGGGCTCGATCCCAGGACCCTGGGATCATGACCCAAGCCAAAGGCAGACGCTTAACGACTGAGCCACCCAGGTGCCCCTGAAATAAATAAATCTTTAAAAAGAGAGAGAATAGAGACTTTGGTTGGAGACATAGAGTGCTGGGTTCTTATTCATTTGGTCACTTTGTTATTTATTTGGCTGTGTTACCTTGGGCAATTCTCAGAACCGCAGAGAAGAGAGGAGGGAAAAGATTTGAGGAGACAAGGGAAGCACTGGATGAAACAATTTGAAATGTTTCAGATGAGAAGATTGAAGGCGCAATAGGGCAGACTGGATCTTGGGTCATCTTGTCCATCCTCTCTCTGTGTGAATGGGGAAACTGAGGCCCAGATCATAATGTGGATTTGACCTTCAGGGTCTGGACTGTAAGGGCTGGACCCCAGGCCCTTGGCCACCCTGCTCTGTGTCTACAGAGGGAAGAGGGGCCTAACCCCACAACCAGCTGGAGAAATCAAGGCCAAAGAAGAAGTGACACCTCCTTCAAGTACCCCCAAATAGCTGTGGTTTCCACTCCGTTTCCCAGGGACAAACCACAATCCTCACTTCTGCTTGAGACTTCCAGCATCCCTCTCCCCAGCCCTTCAGAGAGGCCACCATGCATTGTCACCCCACACCCTTGCCCTCTCACCGTCCACTCTGCAACTCATTATCTGGGGCTCCCCAGGAAACAGAACTCCCTTACCTGATGTCCAAAATGGTTCCAGTTGATCGTGGGGAAACTGGAAACCGCACAGGGGTTTGCCTGGGGTTACGGCAGGCCAGTGGTCAAGCTGGAACTCAAACCAAGAGCTCCAGGCTCCAAGTCAAGTGCTCTCCCCACGCTGTGCACTGCAGCCTCCCCAAGATGGTTGGGTGGCTGAGTTGCTCTACGGATGAGTAAGACTCTATCTAGAGAGATGAGGAAACATGCAGAGTGCAGGCCAGAGCCTTTGGAAGATGCAAATTTGATAACCATCTCCAGTATTCAGTCCCTGGGCTGTGACATTGGGCAATAAGTCCACTTCTCCATGCTTCAGGGTTTCTCGTCCATAAAATGAGGCCAAGGAGACCTATTTCCCAGGGAGAGAGACTCAGAGACATTTCCACAATCCCCGCTGCAAGCTTAGGGTTCCAACCCAAAGCCCCAGCCAGGGATATATCTGAGCATAAGACTTGGGACCCCCTGCCTTCCTCCCTGGGGCTGACCATGCATGACCCCCCCCCCCCCCCAGCCCACCCTGTCTCCGACAGCACCAGGCCTGCTGAGCCAGTCACACCCCTGTACATGGCCCCTCTGCCCCTCCCAAACAACAACTCCTGCTAGACACGGGCCGGAGCTCCCACCGCTGGCCTCACCCCGGCCTGGGTGAGGAGTGAACCGGTGGTCTCTGCAGAAAATCACTGACAAGTACCATTCTTAGCCCCATTTTACAGGCAGGGAAAGGGAGGCCATGCCAGGCCCAACACAGAGTCTGCGACCTAGCCAGCACCAGAGCCATTTCCCTGAGACATACTGTCCCCAGGCTCCAGTCCCGGTCACTCGGAGAGGAATGGCCCCTGCTCACATTTGCCCAGTAGAAACTTCGTGCAGACCCTTGTCATCCAAGGCACAGGTCACCAAGTTAACCCCATTTTACCGATGAGGAAACTGAAATCCAGAAAAGTCTTAATAACCTGCCCTAGGCCACGGTGGGGAGCTAGGTTTTGAACCCAGGGTCTAACCACTCCCTGGGTTAAATTTAAATTTAATTTAAATTGCTCTTTGCCTGGGTGGCTCAGTAGGTTAAGCATCTGCCTTCAGCTTGGGTCATGACCCCAGGGTCCTGCTCAGTGGGGAGTCTGCTTCTCCCTCTCCCTCTGCCCCTCCCCTCTGCTCAGGTTCTCTCTCTCAAATCAATAAATAAAATCTTAAAAAAAAATAGATAGCTAGATAGACAGACTTCTACATTCCCAGAGATTTGGGAGTTGCCACCAGAGAGTGAAGGGAATGAGGGTGGGTCCCCAGCTGGCTGCCCCCAGGATGTCACCAGTCCTGGGCCCGCCAGGGCAGCGACACGCCCGGTGCCTGCTGGGGACCCGGCAGATGAAGACAGAGAGCTGGGGGAGCGGGGAATAGAGCCGCACGGTGGGGGCTGACCTGTGGGGTTGCTGCCGTCCAGCTGCTGGGCTGCTACCACCGTCCTGTCCACAGAGAGAAGGGGAAGTTGGATGTGTGTGCGCCCTCAGCCCTCCCCTGCTCACTTCATTCCGGGCCTGCGCACCACACCAGGCTCTCACTTCACTTCTTCTTTCCCCCATCAGCAGCCTTTTTGCTTCCTCTGAACTGGTAGCTGGGCAAGGCACCCCTCACTCTCACCCCGCATCTGGTGCAGCATTTCCTGGGGGTGGCCGCACCTTCAAGAGGTACTTGGTGTCAGTGGGGAGAGGAGGGAGGGCTGGTGCTTGTGGCTCCGGGCAAGGTTTCAAGACCCACCTCCGCTCTGCGCCTCTTCGGCCTCAGTTTCCCCACCTCCAGACAAAAGAGCCGGCGCCCCGCCTGACCTAACAATCAGTGAGCCTGAGATGACCATGACCTCAGGCAAAGGGCCAGGTCCGACTGCCTGGCCTCAAATACCAGACCTGCCATTTACTGGCTGGGGGGCTTTGGGTAAGTGACTGAAACTCTCTGAACCTCAGTTTCCCCTCTAAAACGGAGCTAAGACAGCCCCACCCCACGGGGTAGCGCGGCGCTTCCGAGAGGTAACACTGCAAAGTCCCCAGAAGTGTGTTCCACAGCTGCGGAAAGGCCTCGCTGGGAACAGAGAGCTCAGGAGATGTGGCCGGGCTGCGGCTGGAGGGCTGGTCGGCCTCTCCCGCTGCAGCTACTTCCCCTGCACAACTCTGAGAGGAAGGGGGAGTGTCTCTGCATTGGCGGGAGGCAGGGTGCTCTCTCGCGCTCAGCCAAACTCCCTGGGAAAAGTCCAAGTCAGTAATGTACTTTCCTACCCCTGGGGTGAGATGGGGATGCAGCAAAGCGGAGAAAGCAGGCAGGTCCCCACAGCGTCTCTCTCTCCCCTCTCCCCCACCCCAAGGCGCTTCCAGTGCCGACCCACGCACAACCCACAGGTGGTAGCTCCCTCAGGCCTCTGTGGGAAGGGGAAGAGAGCTGTGCCTCAGAGGGCAGCGAGATTTGGGGGGAGCACAGACCCACGCCTCCAGGCCCGCCACTGCAGCGGTAACATAATGTCCGTGCAGGGACACCTAGGCACCTGTGACCCGACCCCTCCGCCACACTCCTGCTGGATGACTTGGGCAAGCCCTTGCCTTTCTCTGAACTTTGCTTTTCTGTGGCCATGACCCAGACCATGACCTCCAAGCCCTTCCTTCTGAGGTCTCCTAGCCACCTCTGCAGTTAGAACATCAGTAGTCTTCTTCCTCATGCTGTTTGTGAACCCAGGCAGCTGCTTTCAGGGTCCAGAAGGAGGACCCGCTCACCCTGATGCCCCTCTATTTTCCACCCCGGGATCTGTGCTGTCCTCTCTATATCTTGCCCCTGGTGGAGTGCTGGTTCTACCTCACCCTGCTCTCCAGACCCTGGACGTCACAGCCAAGACACTCCCCAGCTCAAAAGCCACCAGTAGCTCCCTATTCCTTCATTGACTTCATGGTCTAGCCCCATCCAGCTTCTGCATCGACCCAGTTCCAGACGAGCTTGCCATAGTCACACCCACCTCCCTGCTCTGTCCCAGCTGTGACACACACATGTGCCACCGGTCCTGGGTCCCCTGAGAAGGCTGCTGTCTCCAACTCCCCTATAAAACATTCCAGATGCTTCAGCTTTAGGAACATGCCAGTCCCTTTTTCAGCACCCCCAGGCAGGGAGGAGGGCAGCAGGCCACCTTCCACCCCCCACTCTGGGAGAGCTGCACACCATCCCCAGGGATGTCCCTCTCCATAGGGGCTATTCACCCTGTGATCTGCGAGAGGACAGTAAGGAGGACCCCTAACAGGACATGCCATAAACTGAGTCGCACGATGAAAAACTCATGTTTTTTTAAAGATTTTATTTATTTATTTGACAGACACAGGAGAGAGGGAACACAAGCAGGGGGAGTGGGAGAGGGAGAAGCAGGCTTCCCGCGGAGCAGGGAGCCCGATGCGGGGCTCAATCCCAGGACCCCGGGATCATGGCCTGAGCCGATGGCAGACGCTTAACTGACTGAGCCACCCCGGTGCCCCCAAAACTCATTTACTTCTCAGTGTTTTTCAGTCCTGGTTGCATTCAGGAGAAGCCTCCATTTAGAGCTAAATTTTCTCTAACTCCTCTCTCCCACTGCCCTGTGTCCTTATTTTTTCATTCTTCAACCTTTTATTGGACGAAGAAAACTAGGTAACTGATTTTTAATTATATTTTCATTGTGGCAAAATACACTTAAAATTTACCATTTTAACCATTTTTTAAGCGTACAGTTCAGTGGCCTTAAGTACATTCACGTTGCCATGCAGGCATCACCACCATCCACCTCCAGAACTTTTCCATCTTCCCAAGCAGAAACTCTGTCCCCATTAAGTAGCAACTTCCCTCCCTCCACCCCCTCCCAGCAGCCCCTGGCAGCCACCATTCTATTCTGTCTCTGTGAATTTGAAGTGGAATCATCCAATATTTGTCCTTCTGTGACTGGCTTATTTCACTTCGCATGGATCAGCCTTTCCTTCCTTTTTAAGGCTGAATAATATTCCTTTGAGTGTACAGATAGACCAATATCATTTATCCATTTGTCCCATAACAGACACTCGGGTGGCTTTTACCTTTTGGCTCTTGTGAAAGGTGTACAATCATGTCCCTATTCAACAAAGAGCAAGTTTCTAGCTGGTTCTCAGTGGTGTTTTGTTTACATAGGATTTACTTTTTCTATTTTCTTCTATTTGTGAAAATCAATGCCGATTTCCTACTTACCCTAAAATACCCATACATCCTACAACATGAAAAGGATGCACAGGAAACGTGCTAGGTGTTGATGGGAAAAGTGGCAGCAGGGGTACAAGAGAGAACTGTTGGAATGTGGAAAATACCAATCCAGTCCTCCATCGAAAACCCCAGTGGGCTGAGCTGGGGAAGGAACAACTTCAGAGGGCCGCCGGGAGGCTGACACCAGTGGGCTGTCTGGGCGTGTGGGTTCAGGAACAGTGGTGACAGTGGTAACACTGAGTCAGATCTGGGCTCTCAGACCTTCTGGCTTTGTGACCCTGGGCCTGTCATTTGACTTCTGATTCTCACTGTCCTCACTATAAGCTGGTGAGGTGGCTGAAAACTGAGATAATTCCTATGAACTGCCAAGCCTCTGGTCTGTATCCATCTTGGTCCCATGACTGGTGGGATCTCCCCACCTGCTGCAAGGGACATTCCTGGGACGACTCCCTTTCTTAAGAGAGAGGGCCCAACTGCGACTTCCTAACTGGAGCTTAGGTTCACCGCTGACTAAGCCTCCTCAACCTTCTGCAGCCCTCCTGCTGCCTCCAGAAGCTCTGGGAAAGAACCAGGGGCTCTTGGCCCATTCCTGTCCTTACCAGCCAGGGGACTTTGGATAAGTCTGAGCCAAAAGCAAACCCCCCTCAACCCAGGAGCATTTTCTCAGCTTTAGAATGGGGAGTCCCTGTCCTCTGAGTACTCAATATCTGTCTTTCCCAGGCCCAAGGTATACAGAAAGCAAAGACCAGGCTTGCAACATTCATAGTAGTTTCCTCTCCCACAACACATACCCCCACCCAAATCTGCCTCCATCAGATGCCATCAGAGTTTAACCATGCAAATATGAAGCAAATGAACTGACAAGCAAAACTGCACATCTTGCAAAAAGTTTGGGGTTTCATGAAGTTGATGTGACACAGTAGAAAATGAAGCAGAAGCTGACCACAGAGGAAGAGAACATCACTTAGAAATGACCCAGTCCTTCCAGAGAGAACTGCTTAACTAACAAAGGATTCAGAGTGACACTTGCCTGTGACCCTCTCCAATTTATTTGCAAAAATGACCCTCTTTCTGTAAAGAGCCGATTCTTCATTCTAACGTCTGCCTGGTTGCAATCACAATCTAAGCGTTAATCATGAACTAAAGCTAATTTTTCTTCAGCACTTTTAGTTTCCTTTTCAAGGCAAAGTCCCAATGCGGTCTTGATCCCCTCACTAACTCTATGATGTTTCCGTTATCTTTTTAGATTCACCGCAGGGGCGCCTCCCTGTCTCAGGCGGTGGACCGTGTGACTCTTAATCCCAGGGTCCTGAGTTCAAGCCCCACAGTGGGTGTAGAGCCTACTTAAAAAAAAAAAAAGAAAGAAAGAAAGAAAAAGAAAAAGAAAAAAGGGAAGAGAAGAGAAGAAAAAAAGATTCACTGCAGTGGCCTTCCAGGTACAGGATATGGTGAGGAGAGGCGCCCGATCCCATCTCCCGCCCAAACCGCAGACACCTTATTCCCCGGGGCGGAGGAAGCCCCACAGCCGCGGGGCGCACGCTAGAGCGCCTTTACCGTAATTGCGGGGGGACCGCCGGCCCGGCCCTGTCGCCGGCAGGAAGCACCGAGGCACTTCGGAGAAAATATCCGCCGGGTGGGCCAAGGGCCCCACCACGCTTCTCGACACGCGTGAGGTTACTCTGGTGAACCCTTTTGTGGTACAAAGGGGAAACTGAGGCCCGGTGAAGGGCAGAGCCTCGCTGCTCCGCGGCCACTCGGCCACAGAACTGGCACTAGGAAGAATGCAGGTAACAAAAGTGAACACTAGGTCAGCGCGCCCCACGTGCTGAGCCCAGGACAGGCGGTGCCCCCTTCTGCTGCGGGGCGCCTAGTGCGTCCTTGGCGCTCGGGAAACCTGAGGCGGGAAAGCCGAACCCCGCGGGGCCCCCAGACCCTGCCTTCCGTCCCCCCCACCCTCGGCCCCAAGCGGGGGTGGGGCCTCCGGCTGGGTCCCGCTCGCTCTCCAGCAGAGCCCTCCGCCCCGGCCCGCGCGCCTCGCCCCACAGTCAGCCTGGTGCCCCCACCCCAGCGACTCGGCTGGCCCGGGTCACGCTGGGGCCGCCGCTGGCCGGGGCCCACCGCCCCCGCCCCGCGGTCTCCTCTCCCTCCCCTCCCCCCCGGGAGGGAGGAGGAGACTCGGCGGCCCTCCCTCGGCCCTCCAGGCGGCGGCCGCAGCGAGCCCCGTGCCCGCTCCGCCCAGCCGCGGCGGGTCGGACGTCCGGAGCTCGCGGGTCCCCGGCCGAGGTGAGCGGGGGCGGCAGTGCAGGGGGCGGCAAGCCACTGCGTCCCGGGAACTCCCTCCAGACGGCGAATCTTCCGCGGGAGGGAAGGGGTTAAGTTGGGGGCGTG